ACCTCCCCCCCCCCACACCCCCCATCACACCCCCATCACATTCGCGCGCACACCCAATTACGAAGCTGCGCTTACCTAAGTCGGTAATCGGCTATTGAAATGAGTGTCAAAATGGGGGAATTTGAACTTCTAAATATATAGAATGGATTTGAAATTGATTAATAACTCTTACTGCTAGTAAATCCAGGGCAAACGAAATTCGATAAAAAATTTATGGTGGGAAAAGGGCGATGAGGCATAGGATTGACGCTTCTTTATGCCAGTTCAAACATCAGCTCTTCCTGTGATGCTTCAACACTTGGAATCTGGACGTGCTAATGGTCTTCATACGTAGTTTCCATCACGTCACAGTATTAGGTCACCAACCAATTACCACCGATGGGCAAAAACCACCTTAGAGTCATTTAACAACTAGTTCCTTTGTACTCAATGCTATAAGTCTCAAAATGCTTTATAAGAGTCTAATTTGACATCTAAAATATGTGCATTTCCTTTTTTTGAAGCTCGTTCACCCTTTCGGTGATCGAATTGTGAAATGATCGAAAGAGGCATTCAAAAAAGGTGCTTTTATGAAAAAGTCATTTCACTCTTTCTGGGGTGTGCGATAGACTTACCTCCACGTGGTGCACCTTGGGCAGCGTATACTCATACGGCAAAAAAGTCTATTAATTGGCAGTTGACTTCTGACTTAAAACTAACATAGCCTGACTGCTTGTCATATTTGACCCCTTCACTGTACTCATCTTACCTATTCTCTGCCTTTGTGTCTGTCTGTCTCCTTTAGATCTGTGAATCATAATTCTGTCCCCCCCCCTCTCGTCTTTTTGTAACTTTGTTGCTTCTCCTCTTCTCCTTGAATCCCGAAGTCAGCTCCAGGGCTAATGATAACTATAAAAACGCCTGCCATTTGAAATGAATCAAAATAAATTTCATTCTTCTTTGTTTTTTGTGATTCACTGAGAGGGTTGGTTTTACTCCTCCTAAAGTTTTGTGACACTCGCTTTAGGCAGGAAAAGAAATCCTTGCATTTTCAGATTTTTTGAACGGATTTCAGTAATTTAATATCACTTTGAAGAGCTTGAATCGTTGAGCTAGTTGTTTCAGTGTTGGGTGAATGTGCTTCTTGACGCATTCGTTTGGAAGGTCGATTAAACTCCGCCTTGTTAAAAGTGGCTGCTTTCGTCATTAGCTGAACCTTGAAGGTGAAATGATCGAGTATAATATCACTAAAATCAGTCGATCAGGTCCAAATTTCGAGAATATTTATGATAGTTATCATTAGCTCTTTAGTTGCCTTCAGGCTTCACAGAGGGGAAGGAACACTAAAGAGAAAAAAAGTCGAGATGGTGGGGGGGGGGGGAACAGAAGAGTGATTCACAGATGTAAAAGCGACTGACGGGCACAATGGTAGAAAAAAAGTGAGGTATGTACCATGGAAGTAGTCGAATATGACATACGGTGGGGTCATGGTGAGAAGTGAGAAGTCATCTATCGATTAATAGACTTTTTCGCCATATAAGTATACGTCGCCCAGGGTGCACCACGTGGAGGTATGTCTATCGCACACCCCAATTTCGAGAATATAAGTCATGGAGCAAAAGATGCTTTTAATACTGAGTAATTTTTCCTCTTCTACTCCTGGTTTCATACCTTATTTGGCAACAGAGATGATTGCACTGGTATTTTTTTAATTTTTGATGATGATTCTCTGAAACGCATAGTCTTAATCACTATCTCCCTTTAATTAAGCGATTTCCAGAGTTGACGAAAATGGAATATTCATAGTCCCGTGGCTAAGCCTATTGAAATAAAATGAAAATTTAAAAAGGTTGGTAATTTTTAGGCCTCTGAAATGGTCAATTTTTATATCAATAAATTAGCCAAGCTCCATACTACAATTTGTTGAGTTAACTAAAAAATAATATTAAAACCAATTAAAAATGACTGAAAACTCCCAAAACTAGAATATTAGAAAAAATAGGAATTATCATCATTCCCCACGATGATACTAACTAACATAAGAGTAAAAAATTAAAAATTGTATCTCTTGCAAAATTTGACATATTGATAACCGGGTCCAAGTCTTTCTAAACTCAATACTAACAGTTATACATGGGGTGCGCAATAGACTTACCTCAATTTGGTGCACCCTGGGCAAAGTATACTCAAACGGCAAAAAAGTCTATCACTCGGCAGTTGACTTATCACTTCAAACTACCATCACCCCGCTGTATGTCATATTCGGCTACTTTCGCGGTACTCACCTCACCTTTTTTCTACCTTTGTGTCTGACTGTCTCTTTCACATCTGTGAATCACTCTTCTCTTCCCCTCTCGACTTTTGGTACTTTGATATTACTTCCCATTTACGAAGCCCTGGGCTAATGAAAACGATCAAAACGCCCGCCATTTGATATAAATAAATAAAAACAAATGATGCTTATCATTGGCCCATTAGCTGACTTCGGGTTTCACAGAGATGAGGAGGAAAATCAAAGTGAGATTAAGTGGAGAGGGGGAACAGATGAGTGATAAAAAGATGAAAAAGAGACAGACAGATACAAAGACAGAGAATAGGTAAGATGAGTACTGTGAAGGGGTCATGGTAGTTTGAACTCAGAAGTTAACTGCCGGTTTATAGACTTTTTTGCCGTATGAGTATACGTTGCCCAGGGTGCACCATGTGGAGGTAAGTCTATCGCACACCCCTCTTTCTGAGCATAAAATTTCATTGAGACCGGGTTATTTTTTAAGTGTCGAAATAGGCCCCTTATGTCATCTACTCGTAAGACATTCTAAACGAACGCAGCTGGCCCTCCAAACCCTCAGGATTCTAAGCAAAACCAGAAAATAATTAATCGACTGGGAATGTTGCATTAACCAATTAAATTTCAAGAAGAAATTAGCGGTATCAGTAGATTAGCTAACATCCAATGAAATTATCCACCTACGTCACCGAAGCGTATCTGTCTTTCAACCTTTGACTTAGTTGTTAATCACTGCGCAACTGATGCTTTTAAATTTAGAATTTTCGAAAACTCATCCATTATAGTGGAGCAGCAAAATTGAGCCCCACCCTTGATTTCGAACGATTCTTGTATGGATATTCTGTATTGGCCTCCGACCTCACCGACGACCACGATAATCACCCCACCATCACTGACACACCTTCGTTATCACAGGCTTTGCGGATTGTTCACCTCACTGGATTTTGTTATTCACCGCGTCCACTTGGCGGTGGCTTTCACCAGCTACCCTTGCTCCAATCTCTCGCTGAAACTGGTGGATGAGGGATAGCGTAAGACCAAAAGTGTCCTAAGCACCCTGTGAATCCACAGGGTGCAAAACACTAACCTAAGTACGCATTTCACACAAGCAAATTGTTTGCTACACAGACGTAATAATGCTTCCTTATGTGAAATAAGTTCCCCCCCTTACTAAATGCTAGTCACGTACTTTAAAAATTAGATAAACTCGCACAATTTGGTGCCGTGAAAGTGGAACATGTGCGCCTCTTATATTAATTGTCGAACTCTGACGCATTCTCAAGGACAACCTGGAAGATAAATTGGCTAGTGGCATAACGCGCCGTCGAAATGTTGTGATGGATGATCAACGCATTTGTCATGAATTGTGCTACTCCTGTTAAGATCACAAAGATAGAGAGAGGGCAATGTATCCATACAGGCATAATCTGGTAAGCAGACACAGCCAGTCATTAACCGATAGAATCGTGAAACTATTGAAACCTTTTGCATTGGGGATGTCCGACAATAATTAACTGGAGACTTAACCAATCATTGAATTTGGCTGAAAGTGTCTATTTAGACAACGGACCAATCGATGGCTGACTGATAGGATTAGGGGGAGGACAGCGATGTCCATGTGATTGCACTTTCTGTGCAAGTCAAATCAATCGTTCAGCCTTCCATTAAAATAACCACAATGGTCTTCTACCTAGCGCATTCAGCGCATAATGAGTTGTTCAAACATAAAACAGTTCGTATGAATAGTAAACAAATGCCCCAGTCTCCAAGTGGATGAAATGTCGCGTTTTTTAAAATCTCGCTGCTAATAGTATTATTCATCTTGAAGCAGCTCTCAAAAGCCCTCTGTTTTGTTATTTGCCAAAGGTGACACAGGTGTGACCAATGCGATTACTACTCAATTAAATCGGGTGTCCACGGCGACCTTGACATTATGGACCAATAACTTGAGTCCAACTCAGGCCTGAAGTAAACTCATTTCCAAAAGCATCCCGGTTTCAAGAGGAGTATAACGAACTTCATTATGCATGAACCAATTTAGTCATCGTTTGAAATTTCACCAAACCACCCCCCCCCACCTTTAGAGTCACCATTTCAAGCTTGTTAAATAAAATGCCCTTATATTTGAATTTTATTATGTCAATAGGCTAAAAGTACAAGCGTACACAACAGTTAATATTGCAGTTTTTGTTTAAACCGATTTTGTTGAGAGTATCAGAGCGAATCTAGAGCCCTACTCTGACCTCATGAATACAGTTACGCGGGACCATCTATAAATACAGTTGTAGTTTAGAGGGACCACCATTGAATGCTTGCCAAATGGTGGGTTATCTTTTTAATTGGGGGGTGGGGGGGGGGGGGGGGGGGGGGGGAGGGGTATGTTGAAAATGAGCCAAAATTTACTCCTGGGTTTGAAAATGGTGCCGAAGGAGGACAAACGAAAGCTGACTGGCATTAAAGGCCTTAAGAGCAATCGTTTACCTGATCAATTATTAATTTATATCAAATGGCAGGCGTTTTGATAGGTTATCATTAGCCCTTTAGTTGACTTCAGGCTCCACAGAGGGGAAAGAACATCCAAGTGAAAAAAAGTAGAGATGGGGTAGGGACAGAAGAGTGTTTCAAAGATGCAAAAGAGACAGACAGACACAAAGGTAGAGAAAGGGTAAGGTGAGTACTATGGAAGGGATAGAATATGCAATACAGCGGGGTCATGGTAGTTTGAAGTCAACTGCCGGTTAATAAGCTTTTTTTTGCCGTATGAGTATACGTTGCCCAGGGTGCACCACGTGGAGGTGAGTCTATCGCACACCACACCTGATTGCTTTTATACAGGTGGAATATGGCACTATCGTTGCCTAGCAATAGCTTTACTATTTTGGCCAGAAAGGAAGATGATGATTTGCCTCAAGACCAAAAATATCAACGTTGAAAACGACATTCTGTGGTGTTTCAATCAACAGTTTCTAATGCACACCCCCAAAGCACTCGGAAATTGGTTGTAGGAAGTCTTTGCTAATCATTTCACTTGAATAAGGGTGTCTCTCAGGGATATTTCTCCACACTCTACCTCTGACAGTGAACCAAGGTGTTTAAATTCATACTACTGGTTATAACAAAAGCGATTATTAAATTAACATCCTGGCAATGTGTAAACCCCAGGACTTGAAGATTCATGTCAGATTAGGTAAATTCCTACACAATTTTATTCATAACACTGGAATCAAAAACAGGAGAATGCACAACCCTGCGAATTGAAATAACAACCTATTTCAAGCATTTGTTCATTGGTGCTCAATGGTCAGAAAATAACGCATTGATGGTAGCGTAATGCCATTCTATTCCCGCACAACAAAACTGTTTCCAACTAACTTCAATCGTTCTACTGGTGAGCCAATTAGGAGGGTGAAAGCGAGCGTTGCCGATTACTCGAAATATCGAATTCGCGATCCGAGATAATGCTTTGTAAAGGCCAAATCACAGAAGCGGAATTGGAATACTGTAGGCAAGAAGAAAAATGAGGCAAAACTCAAAAACGGTACTTGGAAAAAGTTACGATTAACCAACTCAAATCTAAGGCCAAACTCCATATCAATAAGAGCCATGAGCATAGATACGGTCTACTAACGAAAAAACAAGCCACAACATAAGCCACCTATTTGGCCTAATAAAAGCATCTCGAACAGCCAAGTAACACCAAGAAATGCTTTAAACGTAGGAGCAACGGATTTAAGGGAGATTAATAATTAACAAACATCACATTTGAGTATTATTACAGCGCTATAAAAGTTTGACATTTTCATCATTAGGGAGGAGAGAGAGAGATAGCATGAAGAAATCCAAAGGAATTATGACAGATACATACATTCGCTCACGATGCATACAGCTCCATTTTGTCCAAATGCGAAAGGAAGAGGTGATAGGCAACAGAGGAAAGACAAACTACTCACGACTCAGCTCGTCCAGTGACAACTTTAATTGTGTGTTTAATTGTACAATTTTCATAAGGATGAAGCTAAGTCTAGGGTAGTAGTGAAAGGAAAAGAGAAATAGGTTAATTAGTAAGAAGGCGGAGGGCTATGGGGGTAGGGGAGATATAGATGTACAAGGGGAAAACTAAGGTACGTGCTATCACCACGAGACTTGAAACATTTACAGCACAACTCAACAGCGTCCGTTCAGCATTGACAATCTTCGATTGAAAGCAAGCGTTCGTTAATTTACTTCATTCTTCACATCACCAACACTGTTAACACCTTCTTTGTTTCCATTGTTGGGAATAGAAGAATTGATACTACCATCGGCTCGAGCTTTCCGAATTTCTGCAAAATATTCGTGCTCCATTGCTTCCTTAGCAGTGAGACGTTCTTGGTGATCATATCTAAGTAGTTTATCGAGCAAATCAATAGCATCAGGAGTAGCTAACTGCTCGCTGTCAGCTGTGATAAAACGATCCCAACGTTTACGGCCATGTCGACCCAAAATGTCGTTGAATCTAGGGTCCATCTCTATATTGTATTTGCGAACGTAATCATAGAGCTCGGCTGTTCCAAGAACCTTTGCAATACGCACAAGCTGATCATAGTTATCAAGACCGTGGAAAAACGGTTCCTTCTTGAAAATCATGCTAGCCAACATGCATCCAAGAGACCACAGGTCAAGTGAATAGTCATAAGTCTACAGAGAAATAAAACCGATAAATTTCGGTAATCGCAAAATAAGTCAAATAAATACCGATAACATACCTGATAATCTAAAAGTAATTCAGGTCCTTTGAAATATCTAGACGCCACGCGCACGTTGTATTCCTGTCCAGGATGATAGAATTCAGCGAGACCCCAATCAATAAGACGCAACTTTCGCATTGGATGATCGATCATAACATTATGAGGTTTAACATCACGATGCATAATACCCATACTGTGGCACGCGTCTAGGGCTCGGAGCAATTCGTACATATAATAACGAATATCATAGTCTGAGAGATTTTGATAGAGATCCTTAAAATCCTTATTGTCAACATATTCGAAAATGAGAGCTGGTGTGCGTGACTACAAATGAAAAAAGTGACTAATCGAGGGATCATTAAAGTGCATGAAGAATACCGTTGATTCAAAAATAGCTTACCACGGGGTCCTTAACTGCAGCCATAAGTGTGATGATGTTCTCTGCTCCTCTGAGATTTTCTAAGATTTTAATTTCACGGCGAATCTTCTTCTTTTTGACGGGTTTTAAAATCTTGATGACACAGTTTGTATTGTTTGTGACATTAATGCCCTGAAAGACCTCACTGTATTTGCCGCGACCAAGCTTTCGAACAATCTGATAATCCTCTTGGTCGCCCCAATCTATGGTATAGTTTTCATAATCCCAGTATTCACGGGGCTTATTCAAGTTAACATCTGCGTAGATGCGAGCCCTACTTTGTACCTGCATGGCTAAAATAGCCAAGAAACATATAAATGGGTTTAACTTAAGAATCATAGGAAAAAAGCATAAGGTTGAAAGGGAAAAATATGTAAAGAAACGAAGTTAAGGCACAAAACAACCAGGAAATAAGAACAAGCGAAATCAAATTTTGCGAAAGCAAGCAAGATGATTTAATAATAGAAGTTTTAATGTTTGTATAAACGATTAAAGAGAAACAAATGACCAACCACCAGACGTGAAATATGTACGCCAAATAAACGGACGCAAAATCGAAACTATCGTTGAGAAAGTATAGACTGTCTCAAACAAATAAACATTTCGATTAGCCTCCATAAACTATTTATCATTTTCCCATATTAATACAAAATTTTAAAATAAAATTTTTTGTTTTGCCGATTAAATCATTCTATTTGGCATGTACACTTTGTTTATTAGTTTTGGAAATGGGCTCTAATAGCATTCTAAACCACAGTAAATTGCAAGGAAATTCTGAGCGTAAATCTAATTAGTTAATAAAAATTTATTTTTCGGCTTTCAAGTTTCAAAGATGTCTATGGGTACAGAGATTATCAAATGACCTACTTCGATCTATATCCCGTCTTTGCTAAATATGAGCTGAATAACAATTACTTGAATCCGATGCTACATTGAAAAATCAGATTTACTCAGTAATGTCTACAGTAAGCAACTTGCTTTCTTTTTAAAAGTATGCATTTTTGTCGGGTCAAACATTGCCTTTAAACTATCAAATAAATGTCTTAATCAGATGTCATTTAATTAAATAAAAGCTTGCATTTAATTTTTATTTGGTTCAATCTAACTACTATTCAGCATATAGCCACTTTGAATGCGTTTATGCACGCCAGTATTTCAGCAAATTTACAAATTATCAAGGACTCTCGTGATTTGTTATTCGGATTTATACATTTCATGGCTGAGTTGTATTTTAACGATCGGCGCGTAGATGGCCGAAAGACTACTGAATTACGCATGATAAAATGTGAGTTCCTACCTGGTATGGCTGATGGTTCTGTTCTATTGGAACAAGGAAATACAAAAGTCACCGCTTCAGTATTTGGCCCCCATCCTTGTAATGCAAAAGCAGATGAAATTCCAGATGAAGTGTTTATCACATGTAAATACAATCGCCCTCCATTCATCAATACATCTGGTACTCGACAGAAGCATTCTCAGTCGGATAAAGTTTCTGCAGAATATGCAATGACTATAGAGGTTAATTGCTAGAACTTATTTTGTCGTATATGTTCCTATTTTAGTCTTAATTATAATCTGACCTTCTAGGAAATTTTCACGGCTTTGGTTCGGCGTTCGATCTATCCAAATGCTCAAATTGATATCTTTATTGAGATTCTACAATCCGACGGCTCAGAGTTTAGCACTGCTATAAATGCTTCTAGCTTAGCCCTTATGGCCGCTGGTGTTGAGATGATAGATTTTCCTGTTGCTTCAACTGTTGGCAAGTATTGTGTTATTACAATGAATTTTTTTGTCACATTTGTTATTGTGCCTTCATTACTTTACTCCACTTAGGTTTCTACGGCTCAAGGCTTTTTGCCGACCTTTGTCGGTATGAAGAGAATTCTCGCGTTACCAGGGTTACCGTGGTCTGTCTCCCTGGAGGCACAGAATTAGGCTCTGATAAACTTGCAAGTGGCAATCCTGATATTCCTCAGAATATCTCTGGTGCCCGTCTACTACACACTCGGCTTTCCTCTTGGCTTCCTTCAGAAAAGCTTATCGTCCTTATTCAAGGCGGTGTCGATGCTGCCAAAGTTATTCATGCCGAGCTCTCGGACAACTTAAGGCGTTATGTAAAGCACTCTGAACGCGTGTAAATATAATTCTCCCGTGTTTTTGCTAATCCTATTTCTATTTGAGATCCACTGCCTTTTAAACACACGCACACACCCTCCAAATATGTGGTCCACCTTTCCTACATAGGTGAACGATTCGGTAATCACTTTCGATGTTTCTGGTATTCGGTTATCGGATCAACTCTCGGAGCTTATTCCCGACTGATGTGATAATTTAATAGGCGTTCACTACGTTACTTAGCACTTTTGTGTCCAGTGAGGGAACCCCGGAATTCATTTGATCGAACCCTTGATGAAAATTTCGAATCTTACCACTTCTGACTTTAATTAACCTTTGCGCTTGTGCCATTCAACTCACTGAATGAGCTGGTACCACTGATATATCGATCCGCGTTTTTCTTCGTCTAGGTTCGTAGTAGTCATTTATTCTACGTTCGAGAACTGGAAGCTGGCGTTTAGTAAATTTATTTGGGAGGCATTCAAGTACTGTTATCTAATCATTATGCACTCGGCAATTATTTCTCTACAATAGTACAAAGATGTCGATATTGTTCTTGTTTTCTATGAAAGTCAGGAAGACAATGGGTAAAATCAAGTACGACGGTGTCATAGGCCAATCCATGCGCAGATAGTCTATGATCCAATATAAGATCAAAAAGGAGATGCACACGCGGCCTTCTTCATAGCATCTCAAAGTCCCCATCGGAGCCTAGAATGGAAGAGAAAGCATCCATCAGAAGCATGATAAGAAGAGGGGGTGGGGGGCTAATATAATCCCCCAGGTCAATTGCAACCATTGGCATGTGTAAAGATGGAAGGAAACAGAGACTCGAATGAAAAAGGATACTTAACCTTTCCCGCTATTGTGATCGGCAAATCCCTCCACCTTGGCCAAGCTAAATGTTTGCTGATACACGTTTGAGGGATGAGAACTCGACCGCACCCCGCCAAATCAGGCAAAATCCTCCCGAAAAAATAATGTCTAAGGAACCTTTACTGTCGCTAAATCCCGTTTTGCCTAAAGGTCACATTTTTCCCCCATAGAAACATCCTTGTACACACAGTCGCTCTCTACTTTTTACGGTTTCTGGCACCTCAATTTATATATTCTGTCATTAATCGTCTTGACTTTCTTCATCTTGCTATGTGGTGAAGTTCTTCAAGATCTCGCTGATGGTAGTTGCTAACATACATGCCTGGCAAGTGAGAGAATGGTACCAAAACAGTGACATGAATGACAAACCCCGCCGCTTAGCTAAAGACAATACGAGGAGGCGGAGAGGGTGTCACGTATACGGACATTCAGTCTTGGAAAATTTGCTTCATGAAAATATGTAATAAAACTGACCAGCTTTTACACTGGAAGATGGCAGTTGGGAAGAATCATGCTGAAGAGGTGATGCAGGTACTGAGGTGCACACTTCACCCCAGCCTTCCGGGGTGTCAACAGCGGAGAAAGACGGTGGAGGAAGATAAGAAGGTCGTGTATCATGTACCTCGAAGAGTGCAGGAGCAATACCGTACTTCTTTAGGTCCTCACAAAGGGCGTCGAATTCACTTTCGGTTGCGCAAACAAAACCCACAGCAAGCGAGGGATCTAGGAGATTTAATGGGAGTTGTTGATAAGAGGAGCAATGGAATGAGGCGTCCAGTGTGGAGAAGGCTTCGGGACTTGATTGAGAAAAGATTGCCGCAGGCTGGGTGACATGGGGATCAAGAAAAATGACCTCCTTTTCACCAATGCACCCGATTAACCAGAGCGCGTGCATTGGACGACCACCTAGCACGCCAACACACTGCTGGAGTTTGAAGAGGTTCTATAAGGACAATGGACGTTGATAATGTTATACAATCCAGTTGGACATTATACACTATTATTACAAGCAAAACAACGCATAGAAGCCTCGTTCCTTGTAATCGACAGCTAACAAGTTCCATGGATTCTCATAACACAGTACAGTAGCCCAAGGGCCCCTTATTATTGAAAGCAAGACGAGCTTCTCCATGTAGATGAAAGGCTATGCCTCAGGTACGGGCCTCGAGAAAATGTAGTTTAAAGCTTAAAATTGTTGAAGGCCCAAAGAACGCTTTTGGGCAAGTGCACGAAGCGGTCGACGTACACATATGAGGAGCCAGATCAGGAAACCCCTAATCTCTGGATCAATAAAATCTCCGTTTCTTGTAAGTATTGCTCTGTTCCCTCATAATGCGGCGCGAACATGGGCTAGGAAAGTACCCATGGAATATAAATAACTAAGACACGAACGAAACAGACAAGATATATTTTGGAGGTATGGGGTGTGAGATAGACTTACCTCCACATGGTGCACCCTGGGCAACGTATTTAAAGTCTATTAACCGGCAGTTGACTCCTCACTTCAAACTACCATGACCACACTGACTGTGTCATATTCAACCCCTTCCACAGTACTCACCTCACCTCTTGTCTGCCTTTGTGTCTGTCTGTCTGTCTCTTTTACATCCTCCCCCTCTCGACTTTTTGTCGCTTTAATGTTCCTCCTCCTCTCTGTGAAGCCCCGAAGTCAGCTAAAGGGTTAATGATAAGCTATCAAAACGCCTGCCACTCGAATTAAATAAATAAATAAATAGATAATTAAGGTGAAAGAACAGCGCTCACCATAAGATGAGGAGCATACATCATGTTGATTTCGTGAAGACCCATACGCAGAGGTATGATGAGTAAAAGAGGCCGCCACGTGAAGAGAAGTTGAGGGGTTGAATGCGGAGAGGCAGCACAGCTCACAGAATCCGGTGACCTGGGATGAGTATCCTCATTGTCCGAAGGGGAACTGGGCACATTGCAAACCGGGGGCATTACAATCTCCACGAAATCACCATCTTGGTCTATACTGATGGGAGTATTTACAATGAGGGCCCTGTCGTAGAGAGAAAGAGGCCAGAGATCGACTTACAAGCCAATTCAGGAGATAGTGGAGGAAGAACAAAAAGCACACTAACCTCTCACTATGTTTTCTTTCATCTTTGCTTCGGGATAGTTTCTCCCAAGAGGAATCGTTAATTTCGGTGGATGCGTTATGACCTTGGGAGTGTTCATTGTGATAGCAAAGGTTCTCTAAAATTGCAAAAAGAAGGGCATATTTTCTCGAAAATCCTCGATTACTTATCATTTCACCTTTCTTAGCGCTTCAAGGAGCATTCCGCTTAAACAAGTGAAGGTACCATTTCAGCCCAAATTTGACTAACTTGTCTACTTTCTTCTTGAGATTATTTATTTAAAATTTAAAACAAAAGCAGAGTTATCTCTATTACCTGATTGCTCGATTTTCCCATGGAATGCGAAATTAACTTTTTTAAATCGTTCTTTTTGTTACCTAAACCTTAGAACACTTTAATAAATCTACTTAATAATTTATTAGAGAGATCTTTCGGCAGTTCTATCTGGTTAGATAAGACTCTTGAGCTAGATTTGAATGGAAAAATATGCACAACTTCGATTGGAAGTGAAGTAGATATGGTTCGGGATGCTAAAAGCACCTCTTCCAAAATGATGCTGTTGCTTAAGATAGCTGGGAGTCCTGTCCGGTTACAGCCGAGATAAAGAGACGTTAACCTGAAAGGCGCAATAGATACTAACATTCAAGGACAAAGAATTTAAGATAGCTTTTAGGGTTTATTCCATGGAGAAGCAAGCCTCTACCATTTTCTAACGTGATATCTTTTAAGTGACTAGTTCAGGCTAATTTCATGGACAGGAACCAGTTCAGTTCGGCAGAAGAAGAAGCAGAAAGCATGCATTAAAAACTAATTGGTGAAAACTAGTTCTATTTGAGGTTACTATAAATATTAAGAGAGAGGCAGAGGATTTCAAGACACCACCACTGGGAGTTTTAGAGGTTCTAAAGTGACCTATCATAAGGAGAGTCTGACACTTTTTTAATGAGGACAAAACTCAGCTCATTCGAAAGGAGCGAAACTTACTGATTTCTTGAATTACAATTCCATCCTCCGCAGTAACATGGGTGTACAGATTTGTCCATCGATCACAAGGAGCCAATTTTCTGCAAATAAAAGTTCGTCATAGATGTGCATAAATGTGTACATAGAGAGGCAAAAGATGGCAGAACTCACTTAAGTACTTGAGCGGCGGTATTAGGACCCAACCAATCGCCAACTTTCCGATCGGCATCATTGAAGGAGGCTTTCAATGGAAGGGGGGAGGTGAAAAGGGAGAGAAGGGGGGTGTTATTAGCGCAAATTAGGTCATAGAGGCGAGGTTCAAATGAGAGCTACACAAACCAATGGATTGAATGGAGTAAATAGCGGAAGGTCGATCTTCAAACATCTTCAAAATGCGCAGATAGATTTCATCCACATCTTCGGGGTCCCATCGCCAATCTATCAAAAATATGCACGCTTTCTAATTTTAAGCAGTAGATATTCCACTAGAGACTGCATGACACCAAAGACGAAGATAATAAACAAAGCATGTCTAAATAATTGCCATATGTGGAGGAGTGGGTGCTATAGAACCGAATGAAATCACACCACTGAAATTAGAAACCTAGATTTGATACTAATCGACAACGAGAATTGTAGTCTCGTGTTGCTTAGAACGGACTCTTATGAGCACATCTAACCTAGTTATATGAAGAAATAAGTCGAAATATGGTGGTGGTGGTGGAAGTAGTAGCAGTTGACTACCAAGGAAAACATAGGGTCAACACGATATAGAGATCTCCAGAATCAATTTTTTCACATTTTACGGATCTATTCCACAGGAAAAAATGAAATAAACAACGGTTATAACCAAGTGATAATTTATTATGGTTATTTGGTACTTACAAAGGCATCATCAGAACGTGTGGTAGCAAAATTCATTCAATACGCATATACAACGAAATAAATTTAAGCAATATAAGAAAAATAACATCTCATCGAAGAAAATTTGGGATAGTAAAGCCACAAAGAATTTAAATTACCACCGTTTTCAAATTATTCTTAATTTTCGAAATAACTGCAAGAGAAATACTGAATAGATGGCAAAAAATATACTGAAATAAAACGATTTCAACAGCTTACATTGCGAAGAGATGAAAAATAACTGGCATCTCTTACAAACCTACCCATAAAGAAACTATAAATGCAGACAACGTTGTATATCTATTCTAATTGGTGAAATAAAAATTAATATTTGCTCACCTCGACTAAGATGTAAAATAATTAATGTTTGGCCAATCATCATTTGGGCGCAACGATGCATACAACCCCAACCAGTGTCCGAAGTAGGTCCATTGGCCTCATTGATCGGCGAGAAACCGCGTCTATAGGTACACCACAACCGAGACCGAATGTCTTTCGATATTTCATCACGATCTAAAAAAATGAATGCTTACAACTAGCTTACCCTTTACAGAATTGTACTTTTTCCCCAGAATCCAAACCGGCCTCTCTTCGTTAGAACAGAGAAAATTTTCTGCTGCTGCGAATGAAATCATTAGGTCTATACGATGGCATTATAAATAGTGATTTTCCTACAGTACTGGAAAGTGTAGAACAGGACCCTCACGATATAGAGGAAAAGCTCCCTTAGCGTCAGTTTCCAGGACAGAAGAAGAATACTATAGTCTTATGCGTGAAAAGATGGAATACGTAAGAAAATAATGAAACAAGTGCATCAAAATTTTAACATGTTTATGAACTGTTATGCTTAAACAATCAATTATTATAGTTTAGAATTGATCGAAGTGAGTTTAGAAATGTAATTGAACTAAAACAAAACGGAAAAGCAAATCAGATGATAGCAAATGTACTTTTAGGAACTACAAATAGTCTGCTGGAAATTTAACCTTGGTAAACTTCAAAAATGATGATGTAATATTCAGCCTTAACACTAGTGAATAAACTTATTTTAAATTTTATTTATTGAAATAAATAGTTAAAAACTACTACTGTGTATTTGCTTAACAATGAAATTTAAGTTTTTTTGGAACATTTTTATCAACCTATAATTTTCTCCAACATAGATCCCACTACTCCTTACTTTTTCTTGTTGCAACCAAGTGTTAAGTCGGTTGGAATAATTATGCAAACCTTCTCTTCCAGTTTTAATTACCAAATTATTTTTAAACAATCTACTCACAATTTACTTCTTCTTAATTTTGCCTTTGCAACCAAAATTGTGTTATATCTTCAAGGATCGACCTTCTTCAAATTTTTTCCTGATTATCGAATTCTATTTATAGTTATGTATTCTGAAGTTTAATAAAATGGATTTGCTTTTAGAGACGTTTTGTTCCAGTGTGCTAAAGTAAATGTACTAGCGATGAATTTACTTCTAATATGTGCGAGAAGGCATCCGTACTCAAGTTAGAGAAAAGCCCATCAATAAGGGACCAACGATGAAAGAATTGTATTACAGTGTTAAAATAAATAGTTCATTGCTAAATGTACTTTCTGGAAGCATTATTTTATACATTTTTAATGCGTAATTATGGATTCACTTGATATATTTAAGGCTCCTTAGGCTTCTTTTCACTGTTGACCTCAATCATTAACAGTGATTCTTTGTATAAATGAAGAATTTGGTCAATACATCAAATTATTTCTTAACTTTGTATAGACTCCATATGAAATTTGGAACGTGCGAGACCATTATTTTGCAATTTGCTAACCATGTACATCCGCTCTGTCTTAAAATGTAACAAATAACGAAATGCGTATTTGAGCAAATAAGCATACAGGAATTTCTCAAAATAATTTAAATTTTCCATGCTTCTTTTTAATTTTACCAAATATTCATCTTGAATTTCAAAGATATTCTGGTCAAATATAATGTTTTAATTAAAAAGTATAATGAGTTTATATGTTATCTCCTCCTGATATTTTATTAATTCTCTATCTTTACATGATTTTGGCCTCTGAAAATTGAGAAAAATGAATTTTTCCTCATGGTCAAAATATCGGTTATCAGTGCATATTATATTTTTAAAATTTATTGTCGCACATACAACATTCTGGTAAAACGAATGGCTGTTAATCCTCACATCCTATCTTTAATCTTTGTGCTTGTATCAAAATAATTAATTAACTGAATGAGATGGTTGGTGGGATTTATGCCAGTCTGCCTACTGTTATCAAGAATGTATGTTGAGAAAATAGTTATATTTACTCAATCAAAAGTAGTTTGTTCAATGATTTGCACTCACCATGCTTGCAAATAATATCTATCCTATTTTCTTGCCCATAAAGCGAGAGATCCAAGAGAGCAATGCTGTTAAGAGTAGATATGAAAATGGTATAGATTGATTAAAAATACCTAGAGTTAATTTTCAATACTAAAAACTTGTCTTTTTACGGCTTTTGCGCACACGAATTTGCTTATGAAGTAAGCTTAAGAGCACATGGAATTTTACTTCGTAAAGATAGAATAAATTCGATCATATAACATCTATAAAATTCATCAATAGTCCCGTCCTTGCACAATCAACGTCACTAATCCTGGTTAAATTTGACGATCTTTACTCAACTTTTCATTAGAAAATTTTATACATATATGAAACAATATGTTCATTCACATATAAAGTACGATATAAATGATATATATACAAGAAAGAATAAAATAAAGATATTACGTGTGGTAAATATAATTTTTACCAGATAAACCTTGTTTCCTTGAGCATCACCATATTATTGCAATTTGTTTTAACCAGCTATTATCGACATGAAATGTTACTGAACGATTTCAATTATTTTTAGTTGTAGCTTACTCGTGGTTATCTGAATGGTTAGTGGTTATTATGATTGATGAAGTAGAGGGTGTTAGAATCCCCGCTTACCACTCCTTCGAAACACTTTCCCTTGCCAGAGATCAAGGCGTGGCTGATCATTTTGACCAAGACCATGTAATGTTCTTTGGCGAAGATCTTGTTGATTCCTCAGCTATTCCTTCTTCAGAACGATCTAAAAGCAATATTCGTGATTCTGAATCACTAAAAGTAAATGGATTTCTATCCTCCGATTCTTCATGGGTCTCTACTGATCCATCCGAAGCTAGTGCCTCTGATGCAGTCAATTCGGCAAAAGCCCCAAACTCCTCCCAACGAGTTGAAACAGCTTCCTCTGCCTTTTTTACTGAAGAGATGACCCCAGAATCTGCATTTACTCAGTATCAGCGGCGATCTGAAGATCAAGCTTGCCAAGTCTGTGGGCAACCCTCTGTGGGATTCCACCATCGAGCTTATGTTTGTGAAGCCTGCAAGGTAAGCCACCTTCGTCGAACTCATTTACAAATTGAATACTTTTCTCTGCATTCATTTTGTTATTTAGCATATAATTATCTTTATATGCAATTCATTTCTTGTTCATTATTTGTGGGAATGGCTTCCAATGATACATTGTTTCACAAAATTTCTAGCTTATTCTCAATGCATCGCTTTAAGAATGTAACTCGAAAACATGCCTTGACTGTCTTCTGTTGATTATTAGTTTTAAGTAATATTTGTTTACTCTGAATGGTTTGTAATTGTAGAAGTTCTTCACTCGCCACCTGACTAATCGTATTAAGAAAGATAAGGCTTCCGCATGTGGAGATTCTCTTGGCATCGAGGACCCACTGAAATCAATATCGATGGGTGGTGGAAACAGTGACATGTACGCTGATCTCAATGTGGTCTGTCCTATGGGCGGTAACTGCAAAATCGAGGGACCTGGGCGGGGCAAGTGTCCCCATTGTCGGTTTCGAAAATGCTTGGATCTTGGCATGTCCCTTACCCGTAAGCCCACGTTATTTTTTATCGTTTATCTTTTGTCTAAGCATGTCGAAACAATTACCCATATCATCTCTAACACCTAGACATACTCCTACTAAATAGTGTATTACCTGCTAGTTATCTTATTACAATGTGCCTTCATCATAGGTGGCACATCTTTCGACCGTTTATCTGATCTCACGTATAAATATTTACTTCTCTTTTCAATGTTTCGCAGTGGAAAAGGCGTTTAACTAACAATGCATGTTTTATGTAGCCTTCGACTTTAGTGGATTCGTTCTACTTATGCGTCGGGGACTTTTTTTTAAAATGATTTTTCTTCTTTTTTGCGATTTTTCAACCAAATTGAAGGAATGTAGTCCTAGTCGCGTGTACATTCTCTAGCTAAGTTCTGATTGGTTTGTTCTACTTCTAGAATAGGACATTATTCTTGGTGCGATTCTCTTATCTATTATGTTTGCGGTTCCTTCTTCTCTCCCCTCCCCTGCCCTCCCCTGCCCTCCCCTCCCCTCCCCTCCG